AAAAAAAAAAAAAAACCCAAAAACTGATGAAATATTTATGAAACCAAACCTGTCAAGTTTTGGTGTAGTATTAAAAAAGAGTAGCCATAATGATCTGAAATAACTATTAAAATACTCCTCTCCTTTCTAACTTCATATCATGTTGGATTTTCTTTATATACTTTAGCTAAAGCTACATATTATAATAAACCAAATGCAGAAAGAGATATGAGAATCCACCAGTCTTATGCTAAGCCAGGTATTAAAGAGACTTGGAAAAATGCATTATAATGTCAGTCTTCCCAGCAGATTATTTACTGTTTTGCAAAATTATCTTTTATAAAAATGTTATTTATGTTAACATGTAATATATTTATGATTTTTTAAATGGGTACATAAATAAATATTTTAAACTTCTGACAGCTTTAAATACTAATGGAGTAAGTATCAATAAATATAACCCACTAAACAAAAGATCTTGGGAATCCTCAATAGCATTTATTGGTCCTGAGACCAGAAAATTTAAGGGCCACTGTTCTAATCCATGAGAAAACAAAAGAGGAAGAAGAAATGAATCTGGTACGAAGTTTTCAGGAATCAAAGATATACCTGACAAACAGGTATTTACTATATTTTAAGATTAAGGATTACAAATGTAGTATGTAGGCCAGATAAACTACTGTAAGAATTCAGATGAATAGGGGAGCCTATGTGGCTCAGAACATCAAGTGTCCAATTCTTGATTTCAACTCAGGTCATAATCTCACAGTTAGTGAGTTCAAGCCCCGTGTTGGGCTCTGTGCTAATAGCTAGAAGCCTGCTTGGGATTCTGTCTCCCTCTCTCTCTCTGCCCCTTCCCCACCTGCTCTTTATTTCTCTCTCAAAACAAACAAAAATAAACTAAAAAAAAAGAATTCAGATGAATAAATGCTTGGTGAAGGAAGTAATAGTGAATAACCAAGTGAATGACTCATTAAACTAGGATAGCTGAAGCAGAAATGGACAGAATATAACTGGAAGATAATTTTGGAAGTAACATCAACATGATTTGGAAAGTGATTTGATCAAGGGAGCAAGAGAAGACATCACATACAATTTTGAAAACATGAATCCAAGCTGACAACAGAAAAATTAACAGGAAAAAAATGTACTAATGTCACCTGAACTCAAAAACATTGGAAGAAGAGCATATTTAGATGGAAAGAAGAGTTCAATTTTATATGTATATTGCATCTTAGGTACCTGTGAAACACCCAAGTAAGGATTTCAAGCAATCAATGGAAAATGGTAAATTAGAGATCAAAGAGATAGAAATTAACTTTTCTTATAATTTATATAAGGGGAAGAACGTAGATGAGATGGTTGAAGAAGAGATGACACAGGCAAAAAAAAAAGAAGCATTGTTATCTGTAAATAACAAATTTCCAAACATTTTCAAAAGTTTCACTTCTCATATTTGGCCTTGTTTGTACTACTATACTATAATTATGTTTATATTAGGACAATTGACCTTGTAAAACATACATTTCAAGAGAGAACAAATTAGCAGTTCAAAATTAGCAGACTGTGAGGTTAATGATCTCCATCAACACACTTAAAATACTGACTTTTATAAAATTAGATTCACAACATGCTTTTTCAAAAACACATCTACAGGTGCTAGACAGAGACCTACGATTAAATGGCTATGTGATAATCAGGTTTTGTCTGCCAGTATTTATGTTACCTCTCTGTCTAGCTGAGATGATGACGTGGTGATCACGCCTGTCGTCGGATGCATAGAAAACAGCGTGGCTGACGCTGGCAACTGCTCGATGATGGAGTACTTGAGACGCGTGTGCATCGTGTCAGGTTCATCTTTGTCAGTTGCACATACCTGGCCCACGGTAGAGCCTACATGTTGAAAAATCCTCTTCAGTATACAAACCTTTTACATTTTCAACTTTCCCTTTTTTTCACTCCTCTCCATCTACTCAAAAAACTTTTCGACCGCTTAATTATATGTCAGAGTAATAATTCATACATTTGCAGACTTCTATATGAAGTATCATTTCTTGTAAATATCCCAGCATTCGAACATTTTGGAATTTGGTGACCGTATCCGCACTTACTGTATTTAATGTATAATTTATAAATGTTGACAATGCCCCTCCAATTGCCTTTGTATTTCTAGACTAAAGAATTCCAATTATTCTTTAACTTCTTTCTATTTGTAAGTCTCCACTTAAATGGATCAAATGGTCAAAAATGTGTCCAAAATTCTTGGTTCGGTTAGATCTTTCTAGAAGACTCAAAGATTGCATTCTGACTTCCAGCTGAAATGGTTCATTTTAATATGATTGAGAAAACGCATGATTTTCAATGACCTTTATGATTATGCTCAGAATATTGTCAATCATTTAATCACTATGGAATATCAGTAGATCTCTTCAAGGCTAAGACTTCAATTACTTAAAGACTCCTTTTTAGAGTACATTCTCTTAAAAGTATTTATTTTATCTCACACAGGAAGGCAAAATAAGATACTGAATAACTTCTCTATTTTTCAGGTACGATGCTTGGCATTCCAGGTGTATAATGTATCATTTAATCTCCATAACAATCTTGCATATCAATAACCCATTTTACAGATAAGAAAACTAAGGTTTGTCAAAATTAGGAAGTTTTCCCAGGGTCACAGCTAGTGAAAGGCAGAGTAAAATTCCACCCACAGAGGTCTGAGTGACAAGTGCCTTGTTCTTGCCAGCAAGATATGCTGCCTCCCAATGGCCACCATGAAACTCAACTTATGAATTAAAACATTAAGTTACCGTATATTGTTAAGGTAGGTACTCACCAACTCTGCAGTTTTCAGGAACTGTAAATATGTAAGTTGTTTCTGTAAAAATTGGGTAGTTATCATTTTCATCCTCAATTCTGATTACCAGGGGCAGTGGAAGTTCTGGAGTATATCCATCTGGAGTTGTGGCAAAGGCAATCAGCTGTGAGGAGTAAAATAAGAAAAAAAGCAAAATTAAAATATGGTTTACACTTGCTTTGGCTTTAGTTTGGAAACTGTGTGGCATTGCAGTGTGAATTTTGCCATTTGTTATTGTTTTGGGATGTGGACATGACCTTACTGCCATAAGAGGTGGTTAATCCCATGGTATACTACAGCATTTTATGTTTATCTAATATAATAACATAGATAATTTTGGTTTCTTCACTAGTGCTGCACATTTTTCATGAGCGTAATGGCTTTTATCATTATTTCCCAGAACAGTCTTGAAGATTGTTTTGTGGCTTTTTCTTATTTTATTTTGTTTTTTAAGTGTTTTTTTTTTTTTTTTATTTTAATCCCAGTTGTTAACATATAGTGTTATATTAGTTTCAGGTGTACAATGTGGTGGTTCAGCAATTCTATAAATTACTCAGTGCTCATCATGATAAATGTACTCTTTAATCGCCAATCCCTATTTCACCCATCTCCCTGCTCCTCCCTCGCTCTGGTAGCTAGCAGTTTGTTCTCTACAGTTACCAGTCTGTTTCTTGGACTATCTCTCTCTTTTTTTTTTCCTTTGTGCTTTTGTTTTGTTTATTAAATTCCACAGATGAATGAGATCATATGGTATTTGTCTTTCTCTGACTGACTTATTTTGCTTAGTATAGTACTTGCTAGCTCCATCCTTGTCATTGCAAATGGCAAGATTTCATTCTTTTTTATGGCTGAATAATATCTCATTGTATATATCACTCTTCTTTATCCATTCAGTGGATACTTGGGCTGCTTCCACAAATTTGGGCATTGTAAATAATGCTGCCATAAACATAGGGGTGCTTGTATACCTTTAAATTAGTGCTTTTGTATTTGGGGGGTAAATGCCAAGTAATACAATCACTGGATTGTGTGGTAGTTTTATTTTTAACTTTTTGAGGAACCCCCCAACAGTGGCCACACAAGTTTGCATTCCCATCAACAGTGCCAGAGGATTCCCCTTTCTCCACATCTTTGCCAACACTTGCTTTTTCTCATGTTTTGATTTTAGCTATTCTGCCAGGTGTGAGGTGATATATCATTGTGGTTTTGATATGCATTTCCCTGCTGATGAGCGATGTTGAGCATCCTTTCATGTGTCTGTTGGCCATCTGGATGTCTCCTTTGGAGAAATGTCTGTTCATGTTTTCTGCCCATTTTTTTAATGGAGTTATTTGTATTTTGGGTGTTGTTTTATAAGTTCTTTATACATTTTGGATACTAACCCTTTATCAGATATGTCATTTGAAAATATCTTCCCCCATTCGGTAGGTTGCCTTTTAGTTTTGTGGATTATTTCCTTTGCTGTGCAGAAGCTTTTTATTTTGATGTGGTTCCAATAGTTTATTTTTGCTTTATTTCCCTTGCCTCAGGAGACATATCTAGAAAAAAGTTGCTATGGCTGATATAAGAGAAATTACTGCCTGTGCTCCCTTCTAGGATTATTATGGTTTCAGATCTCACATTTAGGTCTTTAATCCATTTTGAATTTATTTTTGTGTATGGTATAAGAAAGTGGTTCAGTTTCATTCTTTTGCGTGTTGCTGTCCAGTTTCCCCAACACCATTTGTTGAGAAGACTGTCTTTTTCCCTTGGATATTCATTCTTTCTTTGTCAAAGATGAACTGACCATAAAATTGTGGGTATATTTCTGGGTTTTCTGCCCTGTTCCATTGATCTATGGGTCTTTTTTTTTATGCCAGTACCATACTGTTTTGATTAGTACAGCTTTGTAATACAACTTGGAGTTTGGAACTGTCATGCCTCCAGCTTTGTTTTTCTTTTTTAAGACTGCTTTGGCTATTCAGGGTCTTTTGTGGTTCTATACAAATTTTAATATTGTTTGTTCTAGCTCTGTGAAAAATGCTGTTGGTATTTTGATACGGATTGCATTAAATCTATAGATTGCTTTGCATAGTATAGATATTTTAATAATGTTTGTTCTTCTGACCTACGAGCCTAGAATATCTTTTCATTTCTCTATTATTTTGTTTTGTTTGAAAGTTTTAGGTGCACGGATTTTAAATATAACTTTCTGGATCTTCATTAACTTTGGTTTCTTAGGACTCCAAATTCCCCAGGTGCTGTTAACTAGAATATTATCTTATATTCTACTAATTAGGATTTTAGTTATATTTGGTAGTTATATTTAGATTTTTAAGTTACGAATTTTTAAATTTAAAAAAGGAAAGTCAGAAATAAAGCAAATGCATGGCTATACATTGTGTGTGGAATACAATTTATTTCTTTTACTTTTATAATATGAATTCTAATTCCAAGTCTTCTCATAACAGCTTTCAGAAAAAGCAGAACATCACAGATACTTAGGAGGCCATGTTGTAGCAATTCTAAACATAAATATTTAATTCTAAGTTTGCAAGTCTATTCACTTAATTTGGTCTACTGATGAATAAGTAATTCCTCCAAAGTAGACGTAAAATAATTAAAACTGAGTTAAGCAAAATGACCAGGTCCTGTTGGGAAATCAATACGACATTAGGTTAAATTCTCCCATATTAATGCTCATGCCACCATGGGAAGTTAACCAGATGATGAAAGACTGGATAATCTTGATTAAGCACTGTCCACACTCCTCACCTATTCACCATAAGTTAACCTTCTCTCGTTGCAAAAATACTGACGTCTAACTTGCAAAGTTCACTGACCTCCCATGATATCTCTCTGTACCCTAAAGAGGTTCACAGACCTTTTATGCCAACTGAATCACTGGTTTTCAGAGTGGTATTCCCTTTTTCTTTTGAAAAAAAAAAAAAAAGAAGAAAAGTAAAACTATCATGCCAAGACCCAATCTAAGAATCTAATGCTCTTTATTCTATAAAGTTTTTTTTGTTTCAAGTCTCTGCTATTGGATGTTGCCAGAGCCTAGATGACAAACTCAGAGGACAGAAGAGGGTAAATGAATTGAGAATGAGAGATAAAGCAGCCAAGCTTAATAATTACTAATACAATATGTAACCTTCAGACTTTACCTCAAAAGATTCATACTGCTCCCGATCCACAGGACGAGTACAAAACAGGTTTCCAGTATCTCTCTCTACATAAAATAAATTTATAGGTTCTCGGTCTACCCCAGGTCCTCTGATGGAATAGAATATAGTGTAGTTTTGTGCGGTGTCAGATTGAATCTAGAAAGTAGGTATTATATATATAAGAGACAGATTTTTATTTCAGCAAAACTTTCATCTATACATTCATGCAATCATGTTGCCATTTTTATTGCAATAAGTAATTGCCCTCTTTAATTCATTATCATGTACAAATAAAAAACAGGTAACAGAATAAGGAAACCTAATAACAGAAATTACAAGAGCAAGGCATGAGAAGAAAAATATCTTAGTATCTTAGATTTCCAGAATACCTGAGGACTACTTTAAAGGCTAAATGGTACCTATGTGGGCCAAACATTTAAGACTGTAACTGTCTGAGAAAACAAAGTATTCTGAGCATGAAAAATTACCCTTTTGTCAATTTTTTAAGCATGAATTGTTATTATATGCAATACAGGATTTGAGACTCTAGGTTTAAAGTTACTGTGAGCAGGGCAAAAACACGGAAAATGCTTTCCTTAATTAGTTTTCATTATTTGTCAAAATCTTTTTTATTATAGGAGCTGAAGAGAAAGAGTGGCAGGAATGGGTGAGAAGAGAAATGATGTAATATCCTGGCATGTATGATATTCTGGTACTTGATCCAAAAAGCAAATTTTTTCCCAAGTTGTTTTGATACTCTTAGTAAGATCTTGACTGTATATCAGGATGACTAACATAATTATTTTTAAATGATTTCTTTCTCGACTTTAATATGTTCTTCTTTCAGCTGCATTAAATTTGTTGGTGGGATATAAAAAGTTATAAAGAGACAGAAAATGTGGATATAGTCTGATCTAAGTAGTGGACTTGGGGATAAACAACAAGGAGGATGTATGTGTCTTTTCCCCTTCGTGGCATTTGTCTTCTTGTCAGTAATTTTATCTTCTTTAATGGAAGATGTTTTGGGGTTTCTAGACTACACTCTGTGATACCCTTACTAACATGAAAATTCATTAAGGAACCATGTGTTTGAGAGTGCTAGATGAGTTTCACAATTTCATAAAAAGGCTTTGCATGACTAAAACTGCAAAAGAATGCATGACGGTGTAAAGATATATATTTATACCCATATATTGAAACATACAATACACATCTTCATTCACTCATATATTCATATGCAACTGTTTTCGAAATAACTGCATACTCATTAGCCAAATTAAAAAAAAATGGAAGCCATAGACTTTCACAGTGAAAGGAAAGTAAATTGTACCTGTTGAAGAAAAAGTGGGAAAGGACCCAAGGAATTCTCTTGCATTGAACAAGGAATAGGAGCCCATCTTCTCTTGGCACGTCTTAGAACTTTCTCTCTAGAATGCCTCTTCTTCAGTACCTACATTTAGAAGACAGGAAAAAAGTAATAAAGCCAATGAATAATATACTCTCAAACATTGGAACTCTGACACATCTCCTTTCATGGGGAGCTGGGAAGGTGTAAGCCCATGGTAGTGCTTGAAAACCAAACTAAATGTCAACACAGCCAAAAGATAACAAAGAAATCATGGTCCTAACTGTTATCACATCAATCCTCTTGAGGAAATAACTTGGTGAGAATATGGAAGAAAGAGAGATGGAACGGGAAGCCTAGAAACAAAATTACAAAGACAAAAATAAAATTGACTACGTTACCATTGCCATATTGCCATGCAAAACGACGGGAGGAGAGAGATTCAAGGAAAATGAATGAAGTGAGTGATCTCCTAAATCTAGCATATGTACCTTCCACTCACCAGCAACTAGGAAGAGCCAGGGACCAACAGAGAGATCTGTGTCAGAAGGAGGAGAGAACAGTGGTGATAACTCTCAAACCGCTGTAGTGAATAATGGCCAGTGGCTGAACAGAAGTCATTTGGATCTTTGGTGTCATAATACAATAAGTTCGTATGAGGTCTGAACCTCAACCTAAAACAGTCATCTACTTTTTAAGACTACAAATTATGCTAAGATACATAAGACCTCCAGAAACAGAGTTTTAAAACTTGTTTTGGAAATCGACTCTACAAGAAAGATCAAGATAGGCTTCTCTGTGTCTGATTTCAACTTCTCATGCTGCAGTAGCCCAATTTCTCCTTTTATGTCCCAAATAAAAAGTAATTATAACCTGGAATAACTGATATGGCAAAACCCGTTTCCGCCACTTGAACACTGTTAAGTTGTATGATGGTTTTCATTTTTCATCAAGCAAAACCATCCCACATTGTTTCTGATTCCACATCTTCCCTGGTAATGTTACACCTGCAGAAACCAATTCATTATGCTGCATGTTTATAGTTTGGTATACCTTTGTTTGATGCTGTAAAAGGACAAGTATTTTCTCTTCCTCTTGGTTATCAGTGTTGGAAAGTAATATGGTAAACTTCCTCTCCTCTGAGGACAAAAGAATAGCATTTGTTGTATAGACTGAACCATCTTCTAAAATTTGGAAGTCAGGATCACTTGAATGAATTAGATTTGCAGATTGAAAGCACTCCTTCAGGTTAACTGTGGAAAATACACAGAACAATCATTTGTAAGGTAAAACAAAATAATACATAGGTTTAACAGTAATCTATGCTTTTGGGGGCGGGAAGCCAAAAACTTAAAATTAATTACACTGACACTTGTAAATGTTGCATTTTTAAAAGTACATATGAAACCACATGGTGAATTAAGTTGTGCATCAACACAGATATCACTTCTAATACCTACTTTATATCCTTCTAAAAAAGAGACATTTGTCCTGAAATAAGGGCATGTGAGTTCTAATGTTTGAATATGTAAACCAACACACAAAAAAGTTTTTCTTTATTAACTGAAATTAGCTATAGAGTAACACATGAGAGAACTGAACTTAAACAGAATCTAGAGAATTAGTCGGCAGCTATTAGATTAAAATGTTTCTTAACTCTTTGCATCTGTTGTTAAAGAGTCATGATATTCTGTGTTCTCACTGGTCTGCTCCTTCCTTGCACATTTGAGTTATGTGAAAAAAATTAATTGACAAAAAACAATATGTGGAAATAAGTATCAGTAAGATGCCAAAATATCTGAGGATTAAAATACAAAAACAATACCTTTAAACTCAAGAAACAGTTCCAATGCTATTTCTCAATTTCACAGAAGTATATTATATGCCATACCTTTCATCTAGGATAAATATTAATAATTATTACTCAAACTAAACCTTTTTATCTACTCATATCATCATGTTTGTCAAGAAAGGACAGTATCTCTTTTATTGGAATGACATCATATGTACATATGTATTACAGATGATAAAATATCATTTTAACCATTAATTCCAATACAGTTATCCTTCTAAAAATTACACTAATTTTACAAGATCGTACCAAATTAGGATTTATTCACATTTTTGCAGTTTCTTACCTCTACCAACAAATTTTCCAGCATCTAGTTTGGAGGGAACATGTAGCGTGACTTTTTTGCAGGCATCACAGGCAAATGTTAAGATCTAAAATACCAAATCAATATTACACGTTAAAGAAAGATCCTTTTAATGTGTACATAGTTTATATGAATTATAAATTGGTATAATTATAAATTAGTTTATACAACTTGCAAAATAAAATTTAAAAACATACACTGCAGTAAAATCAGAACAAAATTGTATGGAGAAGAAGAATAAAACAATAGACCAAGAGTCATGGCTCCCTCCTTCACAAAGCATGTAAAGTCTAATAATTCCTTACCCTCTCGGGCTTTTTTTCCTATTCTGCAAAAGGAGTTAATAGTAACTTCACTGATTAATTTAGTGAGTTATCGAGGAATTAATGGCAACCAATGTGAGCACTAAAAACTTAGGAAGGCAGCACAGGTATGTGATTAGGAAAGAGAGAAAAAAAAAATTACAGAGCCAGCAAAGTATTTCAGTTAATTGTCAATTGCACATGAGCTACGATATCAAATCAATAATATCCTAAACAAAAACCCAATGCTTTAAAATTTTTTTAATGTTTATTTATTTTTGAGAGAGAGAGAGACAAACAGCGCGAGTAGGGGAGGGGCAGAGAGAGAGGGAGACAGAATCAGAAGCAGGCTCCAGGTTCCGAGCTGTCAGCACAGAGTCCAAAGCGGGGCTTGAATCCACGAACTGCGAGATCATGACCTGTGCCAAAGTCGGACACTTAGCCGACTGAGCCACCCAGGAGCCCCTGAAAACCCAATGCTTTAAAGAGAAGCATCAACTCATTTTCACGGAGCAATGTAGAGATGATTTATCTATGACCTCACACAAACAAGCACGTAACTTTGAAATACGTATTTATGTTGAAGGCACATCTTCTCATAAATGACCATTAAGGTCATTTTACAAAATATATCACTTAAGATTTTTGAAATGAGTTAGTGATTTATGGTAACCATTTCCAATACAACATATATTTGAACACACTGAAATTTAATTCTGTTCTAAAACTTTATAATACACACTTCTGAAAGATTCACAATTTTTTCTACAATTTTGCAAAGCTTTTGACAAAAGCAAGACTGCTGACGAGCACTGACACTGTATTTACAAAGGCTATAAACATAAATGAAAATAATCAAAATCTGGATGTTTATTTCTAATACACATTTTTATTTCCACTACATATGCCAAGACATATTTAATTATCCAACTCAAATTATATAGGAAGGATTAGGCAAGGCTGGGATTACATTTCATTTGGAAATTAGGGATGGATTGGAAATTAAAAGATGAGAAGAATGTTCACTGGCCACATCCTCTAGAGAGAACAGGAGTGGAATGAGAAAGCGAAGAGTCCAGCTCAGGGTGGTTGAAAGCATGCTTCTACTTATTCATTCAACCAACCTTTACAGGCTGCTTACTAGGTAGTGTTCAGCAATGAACAAGGCAAAGTCTTTGACCCCATGGAGATTATCTTATAATGAGAGACAAAAAAATAAATACACAAAGGTCATATAATGCCAAAGTCACAATGCAAAAAGGTCGCATAATGCCAAGAGATAAATGTTGTGAGAAAAATAAAGCAGAGAGAAAAGGTGACAAAGGGAAGACCAGAAGCCTGAAGGAAATGAGGAAGCAAACCAGTTCATCAACTGGGGAAGAGTCTTCCAGGTGGAGAAAAAAAACAGAACAAAACCCTGGGAAAGGATTTTGCCTGGTGTACGAGAGGATCAAAATGGTGGTCATGGTAGTATAGCACAGTGAGGGAAGAGTGATACCATAGGCATTGAAGTGACAATCATGGGTAGATCACATAGAGTCTCAAAGTAGAAGTCTAAAACTTCTCGACTTTATCCTGAGTGCAAAGAGAAGCACCCATAGGTTTAGAAACTGTGGAGAGGGGCGCCTGGGTGGCTCAGTTGGTTAAGTGTCTGACTTCGGCTCAGGTCATGATCACATGATCAGCATGAGCATGAGTTTGAGCCCAGCGTCGGGCTCTGTGCTGACAGCTCAGACCCTCAAGCCTGCTTCAGATTCTGTGTCTCCCTCTCTCTCTGCCTTTCCGGCGCTCACACTCTCTCAATCTCTCAAAAGCTAACAAACATTTTAGAAAATTAAAAAAAGAAGAAGAAGAAGAAGAAGAAGAAGAAGAAGAAGAAGCAGCAGCAGTTGTGGAGTAGCATCAGGTGGCAAGCATTTACATAGACTCATTCTGGTGGCCCTGTGAGAACAGACTGTAGAGCAGCAAGAGTGGAAACAAGGACACCAGTTGGGAGGTTCCAGTAGAAATCCAAGAGAGGGAGGATGGTGACTTGGACTAAAGTAAAAACAGCAGAGAAGATGAGATATGGCTAGATTAAGATAATACTTTAGGGAACAGTATTCATCCATTCATTCATGCATTTAACCAATATTTACCTAATGTCTTCTATGTACCAGACACAGAGCAGTAAACATGATCCTCGTGAAACATTCAGTTCAAGGGTAAGACATAGTCATAATTTCAGTAAAGTAGGATAAATGCTCTGCTAGGGAGGTACAGTTGCTATACGATGGCCTTGTGTGGAAGCCAGGTGAGGTCACCTAAAGAGTGGCTGTACATGAGCCATGTCAAGAGGAGGCAGAGCTTATATGTCCCAAACACAGAAACAAGCATATGTGAAACCCAGAGATGACACAGATCTGAAAACAAAATCTCGAAAGGCTGATGCTACAAGAGGGACAAAGTTTAAACTGGATTCACAGAAGTAGGTTTGGGATAGATTCTGAACAGTGTTAACAACATATGTAGATCTTTTTTTCCTAAAGATAATAAGAAACCAAATGTTTGTTTTAAGCAGATAAATTACATAAGCAGCTTCCTATTGGAATAAGGTGAGTCTGAGCAGTGTGGAGAATGGATCAGGGAAATGATTTTCATTTCCAATAATGGCAGCTAGGTCATTCAGGAAGGAGAAAAAAAAAACAAAAAACAAAAAACAAAAAAAAACAACCCACCATGCCCAAACTAAAAATGATGGATACATTTATAAAAAAAAAATTTTTAATCTTTATTTATTTTTGAGAGAAAGAAAGAGCATGAGCAGGGGAGGAACACAGAGAGGAGACACAGAACCTGAGGCAGGCTCCAGGCCCTGAGTTGTCAGCACATAACGCGACGCGGGGCTCGAACCCACAAACTTCGAGATTGTGACCTGAGCTGAAGTCGGATGCTCAACCGACTGAGCCACCCAGGCGCCCCAAGAAATTATTTTCAAAAGCAATAAAAAGTTAGAATGCCAAGGAGTAAACTTAACAAGAAAGATATAAAGTCTATTTGAGAAAAATCTGAAAAGATTTCTGAAAGACACAAAAGTAGACTCACACAAAAAGAAAGATATTATTTTAGATAGAAAAAAAATCAACTATAAATATATCAATTTTCACTAAGTTAAATTATAAATTTCATGATCCCAATATAAACCTTAACAGTATTTTTTTCTGGAACTAGACAAGCTGATTTAAAAAGTCTTAGATAAAAATAAATAATTAAGAAAAGACAGGAAAATTATGAAAAAGAAAAGCAATGAAAGGATATTAGCCCTAGCAGATATTTAAAATTCTATGAAGTCTCAATAATTAAAACCGCAATATTGCATATGAATAGCAGAAACATATTAGATGCATACAAATCAGAAAGGAAAAAGTAAAAGTTTCTATTCGTGTTTTTTGTAACTCTATACAGTCCATAAATGTTGTAACTTTGTTACACTCACCAATAATTTATGAGAGTTCTTATTTCTCCACATTCTTGCCTACCCTGTATTGTCAAACTTTTGGATGCTTGCCAAATGGGAATGACTTGTCAATGAAATTTAAATTCATCTTTTCTTATTATGAGCGAGGGTGAAATATTTTTATGGGCCATTTTTATTACTTTATGGGCGTTTTCCATGTCCATGTTCATGTTGGACTACTTGATTTATAAGAGCTCTTTTTATATTAGTAGATTAGACTTTTAAAATATGATCTGCAAAATTTTTTTTTTACAATTTATGAGTTACCTTTGACTTTGCTTATAATGTTTTTGTTTGGTTCAGTTTTTTTGCCACAGACAAGTGTTTATGTATGTGTGTCTTAATATAATTGATTTATATTATTTATAACATTTATAATATATTTATATTAATGATTATAATTGAATATAATTGGTTTTCTCAATATTAATAAGTGGCTTTTGAAATTTAAGCCATGTGAACCATAGAAAGTCTTCTTGACCCCAAATTTATTTTTTTTATTTTTATTTTTTAACATTTATTTATTTTTGAGACAGAGAGAGACAGAACGGGCTAGTGAGAGAGAGAGGGAGGATGACAGAATCAGGAAGTAGGCTCCAGGTTTCAGCTATCATGGCCCGAGTTCGAATGCTGGGCCTCGAACTCGACCGGGCGAGATCGCGACTCTGAGCTGGAAGTCGGACGCCAACCCATCCACTGAGCCACCCAGGCGCCCTCTTAACCCCGAATTTAAATAGGAATTCACGATGTTTTCTTCTAATATCTGTATTGTATCATATGGTGCATTTAAATCTTTCATCTGTTTGGACTTTTCTGTGGTGTTCTGCATGAGGTATGGGTTCAACTTTACCTTTTGCCAAATGACTGCCTGATCAAGTAGTCTCATACTATATATACATAGTATAATATAACAGAGTATAGTATGACATGCTATATAATATATAATATAGCATATTGTACATACTATAGTACTATACTATAATATACTATAGTATTGTACATATATATACATATATATACACATGTACAATTCTATATGTATATACCATATATATATATACCATATATATATAACATATATATATATTATATATTATTAACATATATATATACCATATATATATATACCATATATATATATGGTGTGTGTATATATATATACCATATATGGTGTAGAGATATATATATATATATATATATATATATATATATATATCCTCAATGGTGGGATATGCTATCCATCATAAAATTTCTTTCTGTCTAGTGAATATACAACCTTTATGGGGGTGAGAAGGAGCTGGTAATATATACCAAAAGAATACAGTCATCTATACTTTTGTCTGGGCATCCCATTTCTGGTAATCTATTCTATGCACATACCTGCCAATACATGAAGTGACATATGCACACAAGTTTATTCACTGTGACATTATTTATAATAGCAAAAAGTAATAGCAGGAGTGTTGGAGAGAAGCAGAGATATCCATAAGATATTTCTGAAGATAGACTTAACGGGAGTTAATGATGGATTTGGGCAGGGGAACAGTGAAGAAGGAAAAACAGCTTCCAGACTTCCTACCTGAGCAATAAGGTGTATAGCAGTGTCATTCACTGAAATACATGACACGAGAAGAAAAGCAACATTGTCTGAGAAGATAATAAATGCTGTGTCATACATCATACTAGGGAGATATAAAGACTTACTGTTCAATGAAGACATCCCAACTAACAAAATAAATTTAGTACAAGTAGACACCTGTGTATTTCACAGACAGGACCTGTAATAGGGAGCATGATTATGAGTGGTCAGGAAGGTCAAAAGAAAAAAGGAGTGAATTTCAATAAAGACACAATCTACAAGGTGGAATTGTATAAGGAATGGTTTATATGTAGCAGTGGGGATCCCTTATGACCTCAGAGATAAAGCAGCCTCCTTAGGTGTTTCGGTAGAAACCAGAGTTCGAGTGATTAAGACGTGTGCAAGGTGAGGCAGTATTAGGAAGTGGAGAGAAGCTGATGTTTAGAATGGTGAAGGATTAGTTGGGTACAAGAACAGGAGGAAATGTAAAGGGCGTTCCCCCAGTGAAGAGGAATTACTCCTTTTTATTTAATAATATCTTCTACTCAGATGCTCTTTGAACATCTATCACACTTGAGGCTCACCACCACAAGAACCATCTGAAGCAGGCAGGACTTTGTACAGATACATGCATATGAGCATCAGACGAGGTCTTCCAGCTAGAATGCAGCAGGATGAGGGGTGTGTCAGAGCCAGCACTTTTTTTCCTATCTACCCCACTTCTGGCCTATCCAGCTTTGAAACTAAGAAAAGCCAAGGAATGAGGATTATTCACCTTTAATTTATTCAGTTTATCGACGTTCTTCTAGAAAGGATCTGAGATCACACAGAGAAAGACTTGCGTGTAAGCATATGTAAAGCAACGCTATTTATTGCCCAGGCCTATTATCATCCATGCTTAATCACCCTTTTTCCTTCAAAGAAAATGGCCAGTGGTTTAAAAAGTGGCAACTTTATTAGGGATCTAACCGAAAGTATTTCTTTGTCATCAACTACATATTTTGCAACCGTTATTTATTCCATTCTTGGTTTTCTCAACAGTAAAATATTAACTGCTGTGCACCTGGCCCTTTCTATGATACTAATGTGCCCTGGGAATTTAATTAAGGGTTTTAAAGTCCATAGAATTCCTAGGGAAAGACATTGTAATGATAGTACAACTACAATTTCACGACCTAAAATTTTAAGGAATTCACTGCAAGCTAAGAGCGACTGAGAAGCGAAATTATCCGAAAATTTCAGCCCCCCAGTTCCAGCACTCCCAGAAGAAATCTTCCTGCTGTCTGTTCTCCAGGTTTGTCCCCTTGTCCTTCAGAGGACTTGAGCTCCAATGCCTGGGGCTCAACGTGAAACGACACTACTGAGTTGAGTACTCTTTGGCACCTGGTCTGTTCATTCTCCTTGTAGAGGATTTAGGAACCCAATCTGGGAAACCTCCGATCCCAAACTCTCCCAGGGGCTGTCCACTCGCACTAAATTCCTGAAGCATCTGCCACCCATCCCCCCCCCCCCCCCCCCCCCGCATGCGATCCCAGTCTTTTCTGCCTGGGAGGGTTACTGTCCCTCCCCAAATAAGGCCACCCCCTTTCGCTCCCAGGGTTAGGTGGGTGGGGTCGTTGCTACAGTTCTTTAAAGTGGGAAAGAAGTTAGAGCAGAGGAATCCAGATGCCTCTGGGGAAAGAGATCCGGGCGAATATTTCCCTAAAGACTAAGGGGCTGGCAACCGCACTCGGAGACACGCAAAGGGAACTATACAAAGGGTCTCCTAAGGCCCGCCCATCTACCGTTTCCGGGTGCAGTGGGTCGAGACCACTCCCCTACTCTCTCTCCCGATGGCCCCCACCCCCTCCCCCAACACACACACGCTCAGAGAGACTCAGAGCAACCCCCGCAAAGGAGCGCACTCTGTGACCCAAGGGCGCGCACTTTCCGTCCGGTCCGCCCAGCGCTCGCCCCAGCCGTGGCCGGAACCGGGCACCGGGGCAGAAGTGGACCGTACCTTCCCGGGGAATTGCAGAGACCGGGAGGAGCAGCGCTCCCCGCTCGTACCCAGAGGCCACGGTTTTGGAAAGGCGTTTGCAGCTCACGCCTGCGTCTCTCTCTGCCTGCGCTGAGTACATCTACCGCCAACACTACTCCTCCCCTTGGGGATCGCGGCGCCCAGGTCGCCAGCCTCTTTCTGGCAACCTTCCCCTATTCCAACAGCTCCATTTGTTCAACCAGCCGGCGCCCCATTAACCCCCGCTTTGCCCGCCACCCCCACGCACCGCTGCTTCCAGCGCCCCCCCATCGGGAGGAGCCCCCTCGCGGGAGCCGGCAGCCGAGCGGCCACTCACCGTGAGGGTCAGCAGCAGTTGCCGGCAGAGGGCTCCGCTCCGGGAGCGAGTGGGGCGGTCTGACGCCATGGGAGTACTCGGGGACAGGTCACCCGCGCTGCACCGGGAGGCCGGAGCGAGCGGGCTCGGCGGGGCCAAAGGCCGCGGCGAGAGTCAGGCAGGGCCCGCCGCGCAGGAGGAGTGCGAGGCACAGGAGGAGGTGGCGCGCGGGGAGAGGCGCTTTCCTTTCTGGCTGTGGGTGAAGCGCCTGCCTCGCACTCAAGGGGCTTTTCCTCTGGCCCAGGGTGGGGCTCCAGGCGCGTCCGAAAGACACCGGTCGGCTCCTCCTTGGGATTTTCTTAAGTCTTCATTTCTTTAAGAGCGCAACAGGTGGGAACTCCCTCTCGCCGCCACCCTTTTACCTGCGCTAGGTGTTTCTCAGCAGCGGACGCCACCTATATGCCCCATGCGCCCCCCCCCGCGCCGGTGGCCGCCTGGAGGATTAGCAGCTGGCCCTGCCCAGCAGAAGCCCTGACTGTACAAAGACTCACTCCCCGGGAGCGCCGGGCCGCGGGAAGGGGGCGCGGACCTGGGCGCGCTCCCGCGCCCCGACTCCGCCCCGCGCGCTGCCTGCTCCGCCAGCTGTTGGGAAGTCAGTCACAGACCCGCAGACACCAGAAGAGCTGGAGCCCCGGATTTTATGCGAACGGCTGCCTAAGTCGTTCCGAGAGTTGATTCGGTGGCCTCTGCTGGAGTAAATTTACTGCAGACATCCAAGTGCCGTTCAGACAGGGTTTTCATCTGTGGCACACCTTTCTTGGGGGGTCTTATTTTTGTTTTTAGAAATTCCATACCCAATATGGCAGTGATGCAACAAAATTACCAGAAGTTAAAGACGTTAATTGATTAACTAATTAATTAATTAAGGGAATCCAGTTTACAGAATAATAATAATAACAAAATCAAGGGTAAGTTACACAGAAAACGGATCTCTTGAGGCCCTAGATGCTGACTAAATGTGAGCTCCTGCTGTTCTCCAAGACCCTCCCTTGTCCCAAATTAAAGCCATCCACCCACCTTCTTATAACTGATCTCCTAAAGCGGACTCCTGGACATCTACTGGAGATTTCTCTCTTCCTTTCCTACCACCGAAACCAGAGTTTGCAGTAAGACAAGAAAAAGAATGGGATGCAATTTATGTTTGGCTTGCATCGTACTTCAACTAGGTGAATTATGGCAGGCCTCAACCTGGAAAATTAAAATATAAAAGCACTATGCTTGCAGATCTCCAGAAAACAAGGACAGGGCATTCTGACTCCTTCCTGCACCTCTTTTCAACTGCAGACTTAAACCCAGGAAGTCCCTCCACAAAGGAGAAACTTGTCTGTCCCAATTCATTTGGTTTGTCTCCTCTGGGATGTTTGGAGAAACCTGTTTGAAAAGCCAACCACGTCACTCACAGCATTTCAGTTCCTGAGAACATGTACCATCCCATACCATTATACACAGAGCCAAAATTATTATAATACTGACCATATAGTTAAACTCATAAGCAATGTCAAACACTACACGGTTTACAGTCTATGCATTAGTCCCATGCTCTGTTTCGTTCATGAATGACACATAATGAGTTGTTCTGTTATTTCCATATCCACAGAATTTGTCATTGAACCTTTGCTAGTAAAATAAGCCTGGGTCATCATCATGAGACTATAGCTGACATGCTTCTGTTTCCCTACTTTTTAACCCTCGTGTTTTTCCAGCAATGATTTCATAAACACACCTCATCCTATTAGTGACATCATGATCTCTAGCATGAAGCCTTCCAGAGGACGGAGAAGCAAGCTAGTTTCTGGTTCTAGAAATCTACTCAGGCTATCATCATAGTCTTTGACAATAGGACATTTCCAAACTCTTGTCTTGCCCTTTAACCCCTAATGCCCTAAGGGTAGCTTACGTTTTCTTCCCTCATTCCAGAAAAGGGCGGAAGAGCAATCTGAAAAGAATTCATCTCAGATATTTATTTTCATCTTTCGCACGAAGTACCTAATTGAGGCTATTAAAATGGTGATGGGAGGGGGTGTATTGTGACTTTTGTTAAAACAAAGAATGAGGGGCGCCTGGGTGGCGCAGTCGGTTAAGCGTCCGACTTCAGCCAGGTCACCATCTGCGGTCCGTGGGTTCACCGAGCCCAGCGTGTCGGGTTTCTGGCTGGAGCTGATGGCTCAGAGCCTGAGCCTGTTCATTCTGTGTCTCCCTCTCTGCCTCCCCGTTCACTATTCTCTCTATCCCAAAAAATAAATAAACGTTGAAAAAAAAAACAAAAAAAAAACAAAGAATGAAATATAAGGGACTTACCCGAAAGAAGTAGTCTAATTCATTCAGTGTGTTTAGATTAGGCCACAGGGTCACTGAAGTGGATTCTTCTATAATACAGTTTTGAAATAACAGGTATAAATTTGAAGAGAGGGCTCGGGTGGCAGTGGTTGTTGCGTCCTGACCAGCCAGGTCACCATTTCTCAAGGGTCATTGCGGAGTTCGAGCCCGTCAGGCTCCTGGGCTGATGGCTCAGAGCCTGGAGCCTGCTCATTCTGTGTCTCCTCTCTGCCCCTCCTCCCCAGTTCACATGTTCTGTCTCTCTGTCCCAAAAATAAATAAACGTTTGAAAAAAAAAAATTTTTAAAAAAAATAAAAAAAAAATAAATTTGAAGAGACAATGAAATGGGTGTAGGAGAATTTTTTTAAGAATGTCTTTTGGGGTGCCTGGATGGCTCAGTTGGTTAGGCATCCAACGCTTGCTTTTGGCTCAGGTCATCATCTCATGGGGTTCTGAATTTGAACTCTGCTTCTGTCTCTGCACAGGCAGTGGGGAGGCTGCTTGGGATTTTTTCTCTCTCTCGCCCTCTCTCTCTGTCCCTCCCCTGCTTGCACTGTTTCTCTCTCTCCCTCAAAATAAATAAACATTAAAAAAAATACTTATGGGGCGCCTGGGTGGCTCAGTTGGTTAAGTGTCCAACTCGGTTTCGGCTCAGATCATGATCTCAAGGTTTGTGGGTTCAAACCCACCACTGGCCCCACAGCTGGCAGTGCCAGTATGGAGACTGTTGGGGATTTTCTTTCTCCCTTTCTCTCTGCCCCCCCAACACTGTCTCTCTCAAAATAAATACACAAACAAATAAAAAATACTCATTAAAAAAAATGGCTTCTCTTTTGCCTGTGAAGACGACTCTGCTGACTTGAACTGGTTTTCCAATGTGCTATAGTAAATAGTGCACCAGACCAGAAGTCAGGAGCAACTTCCTTTAAGTCTTGGATGGTTCAAGGAACCTCTCAGGACTCAACACTCGTGCACAGTTAAGTGAGATCATTAAAGTTAACACTGGGTGCGGTCTATGGTCAACCTGCACTTCTAAAATTGAACTACTTAGACTTCTGGTGGCTGATTTTTTTTAAAAAGTCCAGCTAGAAATGGATGTTTATTTACACGCAGAAAATCAGAATCAGAGTGGTCCTTAAGGAGAGGAATGAACAGCAACCCCAGGTCCACAGGGGCACATCTATGCAGCCTAGATTCCCAGTTTCCTAATTTCAGAAACCGGAAAGTAAACATATTAATGGCGACCAGAAGGCCCAGTTACTCACTGAGGTGTACATGGAGACAGCTCTTCCCGACATGATTTCTGCCAATCCTCCCGCCGCTGGATCCTGGGGAGGAGGGTCCGTGGGCACAGGAGATCCTCAGGGCAAATCTGTCTCGGCATGGTGTAGGGCACAGAATGGAACCGAAAAGCAAAGGAAGCACAGACTTACAGGGAAAAGAAAAACTAAAGGACATCACCTAGTTACTTTAGAGGTGCATGTACAGAGGGAAGCCTCTCATAGCCACAACAAAATGAGCACAGAACATTTTGTGCTCTCAGAGTTGTTGCAAAATTAAATAGCATGATGTATGAAAGGCATACAGAATAAGACCTCGCATATTCTAAGTGCTTCCTAAGCGTTGGTTAGTTTGGGCATCCCCCCTCCTGTGCTGCTGTATGTCTACAAGCCATTCATACCCCCACCCCGCCTCATCCCCACCCCAGCTCTCTACTTCCTGTTTTTCTAGTACCCACCTCAGCTCCTGGCCTGGGGCTGAACCCCAGGGTTAAGTCACTCACCACACCAAAATCCTTCAACCCCCCTTCCCTTCAACATGACCCTCACACCTTGTCTGACACAAAGGGATTGACTATGCAACACTAATATGGGATGCCACCGTCCGCGCTAGTCGTATCTTTTCTGAAAATGTAGACAATTTTTTCTTTAAAAGAATTCTTTTCTGGTAGAACATTTTTGAATGCTGTTCATTTTCCAATAAATAAAATTTTTATTTTTCCAATGCTGTCCATGTTTCTTGGAAGTTCTCCTTTCAAAATTGGCCTCAATAAACCATAATGTACTAACCAAACTCAATTTCCATGACATTTCAAAGTATATTTTTGAACTTAGTAAGGGATAGAGTGTGAAATAAACTATAAATCAATTCTTATTAAAAGGGCAGGCCTACGCCGGCCGTCTCCATCTTGTTCTGTGTCCTCCACCTTGAGTGACTATGTCCCCGACATGACCCCTTTTTCGGGAAAATCGCAGAAACCTCAGATCGCGCCTCCTCCCCTTGAGTAACCTCCCGCTCACCCGTTCAAACTTCCTGATCAAAACACGCCCAGCGACCTGCGTAACAGGACTCTGACCCTTCCCCAGCCAATCGGCTGCCCCTAGACCCCTATAAAACCTTTGTGCTTTTGAAACTCGCTCTCCCTGGTATCTCACCACTGCGTCGGTGCAGGTAGGGGTTTGAGCTCGAGCTAGCTCGAATAAAGGCTCTTTTGCTTTTGCATCGGACTCGGCTCCCTGGTGGTCTTTGGGGATCACGAATTCTGGGCATAACACTTATTACTGTACTTTTGACTTAACACACCCTCAATAAAAACAAGCCAGTAAAAGAATTTTGAGGCAATTGTGTTGAACATGACTAGAGATGGTTTGTGACCTCTGCCATTGATATATGGAGTGCCAGGAGTGCTATGAACAAATTTATAAAAACGTAA